TGACTTCTGCATGTTTCAAATTATCTTTGATTTATGAAAAGTCTTCTACAACCGATTCTCCTTCCCAAGCCTATTTTCTTCTCCCTCTGTGTGTGTTTAAATAGGCTAAAAGCCACTGTTTTCACTCATATCTTTGAAAATCAATATTCCATTCATCTTTATTCCTATTTGTACAAGAAATGAATATTTCAATTGATACCAAGTGTCAAATTATTTATGATATATGCATATTTTCTGTAACTCATAATAAGGCCGTTTGTTTCACTTGTAATGTATTCCCTACTTTTGTCCAAGCTCCATTTGCTTAAATGAACAAATTCCTCTCCTCTGCTCCTTTTTTCCATCAGCAGATTTGGATCTTGTGTTTAACAACTTGTTTTTTCTCTATCTTGCATCCTCGCCATCACTGCAGTGATTATTTATTTATTTAGGAAAATAAAGACTTAGGAACATGTGTAAGATTTGGTTTAGTAAACAGCAGCAAACTAGATGAGAAAGCTGTCTTCTGCAACCAGAAGTAGCATTAGATTTTAGTATCAAAACTTTCAAAAGAGAAACTACTGACATAGACAACATTTGTGATGTAGCCCTTCAGAGAGCATCGACCTACTCACATCAACCAAGTACTGTGCTGGAGAAGGGCTAGAACGCCAGTAACCACTCCAGGACTTTGCTGTGGAAGAAGGGACTGCTGCTTACAAACAAAATGTATTATTCATTTTCATCAGTAAGCATTTAGTGAGCATAACGTTGCAAACAGTGCCTAGCCAGATCTTCACTTCGGAGCCATATCACATTCAGCAACAAAAATAATCTCAACTGTACCAGCACGAGGCCTTTCTTATAGATTTGACATGCATTTGGTATTAATTAGACCCCACTCTCTTTTCATACTTAAACCTCCTGTCCTGAGCAAACCTCATTTTAGCAAGCCACAAGGACAGAGGGCAGCAGGAGCTCACAGCTCACAGAACCTGCACCTTGTCCCAAGGTTTCCCTCTGCATGCAAACGATGGCACCGAGGGTCGTCCCCAAAAGCCTGCCATCCCTGCCCTGCTAGTGGATGCCGATTTTTTGGCATCCTGCGACCCCTAGTGAGAACCAAGCGTGACCGAAGCCCTGCCTGCGGGCGTCCAGGCCCAGCAGCTGCACTGCTGCCAGCAAAGTTCACCTCCAGGGACTTCCCTTTTCCCCATTAATGGACCAACATGCTACTGTAAAAGCATAGCAATGCATTGCCATTCCTTGCATTGAAACCATGCGCTGACTGTATGGCAGCTTCACAAGAAGCTGCTATTTGTATAAACTCATGGCAAGAGTAGAAAAGTTGAGAGATAACAGCTGTCTTCTACGCATTACAAAAGTGAAAAAGGGAAACTACAGGCTGTACTTCAGCGAGCTTTCCTCCATCACTACAGACAAGGCCTAAGCCTCTGCAAGTATCAATATTCATCGCAAAAACTATATTTTTTTGTCTGGTGGCAGTAGGAAAACACAGGTAAGAAGATTACCTCACAGGGTTCAAAAGTGACAGCTAAGTTTTTTGCTGCATGCTGTTGAAGTCGTGATCATATCCACCAAAGCAACAGTTTAGAACAATGATTTTGCTCAAAGTGCGTTAAAAACTTGAGCTGAAAATGGAAACATGTGCCTTTTGAAGAGGAAACAGTATTTCTTTACCGAAAGAATTCCACTACGTTTAACTTGGTATTCATAAATATGCATAGGAATATTTCACAGAATCGCAGAACCGTCAAGGTTGGAAAAGACTTCTAAGATCCTCTCTCCAACCATCCACCTACAACCAGTGTTGCCCACTAAACTTGGTCCCTCAGTGCCGCATTTCCATGTGTCTTGAACACCTCCAGGGACAGTGACTCAACCACCTCCCTGGGCAGCCTGTGCCATTGCTTTCAGAGAATTTTTTCCTAATACCCACCTGAGCCTCCCTGGTGCAACTTAAGGCCATTACCTCTCATCCTATCGCTAATTACGCAGAAAAAAGATCAAACCCCACCTCATCACAACCTCCTTTTAGGGAGCTGTAAGAGCAGTAAGATCTCCTTGGAGCCTCCTCTTCTGCAGACTAAACAATCCCAGCTCTATGAGCTGCTCCTTATTAGACTTGTATTCCAAACCCTTCACCAGCTTCACTGCCTTTCTCATTATATTTTTGTATATACACAAAAAATCAAACACTTTTACACGCTTCAATACATGCACTTTCAGTGTCACATTTATGTATGAAAGTGGTTAAGCCTGATGTTTTTATTTCTGGAGTTTACTAAAACTCCATCCTAGAACTAAGGTAAAGATGCCTAAGTTTTAATTGTGGTGTTTTGAATACAAATGAAAATATACATTAACTATTCCAAATGGATTTCTTTCTTTTTTTTTTTTTTTTTTTTGTAAAGCAATGTTATCAACCAGACAAAAAGACAAAAGATTCTAGGATATAAAACATATAAAATACACCCAGTGTTGAAAGACACTTCTGACTATCATATGATATATTCTATAGTATACATGGAAACTTGATTCCAAAGCAGCAGTAGAGGCCTAAAATGAGGAATTTTTATTCACCATTTTGCATCAAAATAATTACGATTTCCCTTTAATGAATAATATTGCTTTCTGATTTGTAGCCCTTTTCACTTAAGACAAACATATATATATACACTAACTTTAAAGGCAAGCTCTCCAGTCATTGAGTCTTCCTAGTTTCCACTTACTCATAAGTTGAGTTGGGTCCAAGTCATAAAACCAAAGCTAAAAATTCTTAAGCAGTTCAGATCTGGAAACCTACTTTGAGCTTCATTAACCAGTTTTTCTGGGAGCTGTAATCCTCCTAGGTGTTGGCACAATAGCAGCATGGATAGCTGACTGTTGGGCAAGCCACCTCTCCTTTTTCCAAAGCTTCTTTTAAATGGCTTAGTTTCTCCCATCCCTCAGCCACTTTACTAACTCACCATTTTTAGGTAGATACGTCCCCATTAAGCCTATACATTTCTTCTGAGAAAAATGGCAAATTTATGCTGTTACAGAACATTCATTATTACTTATATATCTCCTGCATATATGTCATCTGCCACATGCTTTGCAGGAAGGAAGTGGTCCATCTTTCAGTGCCACTGGAGCAAGTATTATAGCTTGCATGACCCATAATAGTGCATTGGTGAACAAATGCTCAGTAGGAGAGCTGCCTCCTCTGTGTAACTTCTCTTCAGTGTTAGGCTAATTTTTCTGAAACTTTGTTCCACGAGTGACCAACTTTTATTGAATGGAAGATTTTAGAGGCCTGTTTGACTGATTGCAGAACCTTCAAAACCCAGTAATGCTAAAGTAATCTGTTACACACTTACAATCTGTATTGTTTGGTCAGAGTATAGGAAAAGCGGAGAAACCAGCTTCTGTGCACTAATGGCCATCATATTGATAGCTTAATTCATGGGTCCACAGCAGTGTGAATCAATTTATTTTAAACAAATATTCAGTTGAAAGCATGTATTGCTGCTGCCTCCCCACCTACATGGAGCATGTTGATATTTCTGCTACTGAACCAAATGGATCATTCCATCCAACGCCCATAGCTTTAGAAAAAGCACCAGTATAATACTTTTGCCTTCAATTACTTCCTAGGGGAATCATTAGCAGATTTGTTTATGCATATCTGCATGAAGAAAGCTGAAGAGCTCAAAGGGAATGAAAAGAATTGAAGCATATGTTTATTTTCAAGGTTTTATCTGCTTCACCAAGGACTGATATAGGTAGAAAATAAAGATTTATTTTCTTTAAGTTCCTCTAAGCCACTTATTCTTTTCCCAAGTATTTCTGGGAATTATCTCAGAAAATGCAAATTCTGAAGTTGATATTTACATACATTCTCTGTAGGTGTCAGCATTGCTTTATATTGTTATACAGAACCGTATTATTTTTCTTCTCAAAGAAAGAAGAAGCTCAGATTTGCAATTTTCCAAATGAAATATAACTGTTTGCTGTCAGTTTGCCTTGTACTGCCCTTCTCAGACAAAGAAAATTAACAATATATTGTATGGTTGCATCTATTGCGGATGCAAAGAAAAAGGCTACATCATTTTCTATTAATTCCTTCAGGTTTTAAAATAATTTTATTCCATTCCAGTTATCCTATGGATAAGTAACCAAACTTGTTGAAGTAAAAGCAAAGTTATTTAACATTTGCAAGTATTTCTGAAGTGTTATTTGGAAAGTGCAATTCAGGGATACCACTTGTACTGTGAATTTGCCTTCTTTGCACACGCTGAAGCAACAGCACTGGATCAGAAGTTCTTGTAAGTTTCTAGGTGGAGTTCTCAAAAAGCCGTCTTCAGATAATACTAATTTAATACTTTCATTCACAAACTTTATGAACAAAACACGAATATGTCACTGAGGTCTCTCAGTATGTTACTGAGATGAATTATTCATACAGAGAGGTCATATTAGAAGCAGCGAATGACCTTCGGAGCCAAAGTAACAGTAAGGGGGGAAAAAAATCAATTGATAGGACTGCAAGGTCATAAATAAAGAGTAATAAGAATTCTGTCTGGGATCTCAGTTACCAAAAGTGATAATGGATTAAACACACAAAATGATTATTGGTTTCCTATACCCTTGGATGAGAAATACAGTCCAAACATGCATGAGGCATTCCCAGTAAGGTGAACAACACTGATGGCATTATAGAAGTTCGTGTACATGTGAACCTTATTAGGAATGCTGCATAGACTGTTCTGCTGATCAAATAGCCTCCTTTTCATGGGGGTATTGAGCGTTTCAAAATTAACTAAAAAGGTGTATGAAGCTCTTATCAAGCTAGTGGGTAACAAATCAATAATTTAACAAAAATAACATTGGAAGAGGACAAAAATAGCTACAAATGGTTCAGGAATAGAAGTAAAATTGGGAGGAATGATGAAAAAGAAATAATGAAGAAAAATGTCATCTAATTTTCAACGGAAGTTTAAAAGAGAGCATGGTACCTGTCTGCTTGGCATGCGTGTGCTGGTATCTGTGTCCCAGGGAGATCCCAGTATCTCCATCTTCCATTTGCATTACAGATTTGAGCTGAGATTTGTTCCTCATGCTATGGCATTCTTCACTGATAAAATCAAGTGCCACTTATGTCCATTGACTGCAGGCAGTTTTCATTGGTCTATTTTCAAGTGAAATGGAAAAGCAGATGAGTGAAGTTTTTCGCAGTAACAGCCTCAAGTTGTATTTAGACCAGCATCATCCTTCTTTACTGCAAATGGCAAGCATCAGAGACTTCTCAATGTTGATTGGCTTGCAATCAACATTTTCAAGCTAATTGATTCTAATTTAGATATGGATTTCACATTGGGCATTTACTTAAGTGCAACTATTACCCACATATTTACATTACATACCTTCTTTAGAAACTGTTGCTTCTGAAGATTTGTTTACACACATTTTTCTCTACTCCCTCTCCCTCCCACCATGCCTTCAGTAAAACTGTCCATAAAACATAAGAGCTGCACTGATTTATTTTCAGGTCATCTCAAAAGTGCTTAGAAGCTCCTATTAACAGCGCAGTAGGGTAGAGCGCTGAGTCTTCTATAACTCTGGGCTGCAGAATCTTGTCTCTATCATAGATTTGCCCTTGGGTTGCAAAATAAACAAAAGGAGTATTTATAGCCCTTCTCATATAAAGATACTATCATTCAAAAAGAAGGCAATGAATTGCAGGGTGCTTTCTGTATTTGTGGCCTTGCTACTAACATTACTGTTAAGGGCAAGGTGATGTCACCTCACCTGTCACAATCTTTGCTTTTGTACAGCTCTGCATAACACTGCCTCCCCCCAAAAAACGTATTATTTTTATATTCACTTATTTGAACACACTCCTATTGTTAGGACAAATATAGGAATACTATTTTCCACCTGAATTGGATCACATTATTATGGTTGGTATGGGAAATTGGAAAAATAGCACCTCTCTGTCCAAATTATAGTTTAAGGAAGCAGACAGCTCTGACAACTTAAAACTACCCTTACTTATTACTCCTATTAAATGTCCAAAACTGGATATGAAATAGACAAGCCCTAAATTATCCTTTTTTTTTTTTTTTTTTCCAGACTATAATTTGATTCTAAATTAAGATTCAGTAAATTATTACAAAGTTAATAAAAGCTTGCAATGTCAGGTATAAGCCAGAGTAAGCTACATGACTTAACTGGCCTTCCAAAACTCATTCTCTACTCTCTAGACCTAATATCCTTGCTTCAGAGGAGACTGTGATTTAAGCTACATCAAACAGCACGGCACCGACTATGGCTGTGCTTTTATGAAAGCACCTCTGGCTGGGAGCCTCCCTGTCTCAGCTTGATTTATTCCTCCACAGCCCATGATACTTGCACTGCTGAGACATTCCATTTCCCATCTGCACTGTGTATGCGCACTTCCACAATCACAGCCACATACAGATGGACCCTCGTCAACCCTGGAATATTCTCATAAAGCTCAGGTTTTATTATCCTGCTGTAGAGTTGATTGCTGTGAATAAAATCTCAAATAAAAACATCCGGTATGAACTTATGATTTTACCCGCATTCTAGATGAATAGCTGCCTAAGAAGCAAGATAACCTTTTATGACTAAAACAATCCAAAACCATGCAGTATCATGTCAGAGTTTCATTTTCATTAATGCTCACTTCACTGTTCTGCGGTAATAAAAACAAATCCCAAATCCAAACTCTTCACTGAAAAGAAGTTCTTAATGTCTAAATCCCTCAAACGAACAGCTAAATGCAGAATGAAGTCATGTTTTCACCTGCAAAAATGGATTTTTAGACTGCTAATGTATTGCCATTACTTTTCACTACATCATAGCTGAGGAGAATATGGGAATATTTGCTAAGTGATCAACCACTGAGAAGTGAGAGTAAAATCTTGGTAATCTTACATTATTCTCTTCACTGTAAAACAACAATGATGTTCAGTTTAGTTCCTTTAAAGCGTGAGGACTGAAAATTAATGCTTGAGGAACTGAGGATCTTCCCCGTTTGTCCAGGGAAGTTGTGGATTCCCCTTCTCTGGAGACGAATATTCAAGACCCGCCTGGATGCCTACCTGTGCAGCCTGCTGCAGTGGGCCTGCTATGGCAGGGGGGTTGGACTAGACGACCTCTAGAAATGCCTTCCAGCCTCTACAATTCTGTGATTACTGAAGAAGATGATAGGGTTTGAAGATGCCTGAGAGAAGAAAAAACGTTTCATTTGGTTTTATGACACTATGATGCAGAGAAGAATTCACATTTTAGCAGTATTTTGTCGGAGCTGACTGCTGCTTGAAGCCCAAATTCTGAGTACAGTTTTACTCTTCATTGATTAGTCCCCTATGAAGTAAAACCCACTTACACAGGAGCAGAGGCCAATTGGATTATTTCTACTTCATTCTAGAAGAAGGGAAGATTAATTCTGGCCAGACCACTGCAGCTAAATCGATGCCTAAAAATAAGTTTTAGAAGGAAAGAACAACTACTCTAAGATACAAGGAGAACAGATTCGATCCAAGTAGAATATGTGAAAGCTGATACAACAGTTTCATTGAGGCCCTGATTTTAAAATAGTTACTTACCGCTGAAAATAAACTAGTTGATTTCTAAACATCGTAAAGGAAAATACATCCTTCATAAACATTTTGCAACTACTACAGCAGGATATACAGCTGAGCATCAGAGATAAATACAGGCTACCATCACAAATTAGGAAATCTTTAATTACGACGTTGAGTAGTTTGCACCGGTATTCAGTATTCTCATCTAATCATAGAATCACAGAATGGCCTGGGTTGAAAAGGACCACAATGATCATCTAGTTTCAACCCCCTGCTATGTGCAGGGTCACCAACCAGCAGACCAGGCTGCCCACAGCCTTGAACGCCTCCAGGGATGTGGCATTCACAACCTCATTGGGCAACCTGTTCCAGTGCCTCACCACCCTCTGTGTGAAAAATAAGATATGTTATTGTTAGTCACTACTTGTAGCTTTTTTATTTAACAGTTAACTAAATGCTTGCTCTGTAAATAGATAACTCTGTTAGCATAGTTGCTATTTTGGGAGATCAGAATATGTAGTACTGAAAGCACAAAACATCTATACAGCTCTCTTGTAAGATAGTTTTTAATTATGATGGCATACATTTTCATCAAAGTGTAAGGATGAAAAACATGTGCACTGAGCTCAACATTTTATCTGATATTGGGTCATTGAGAAAATGGATCCATACCCCCAGATTTCTAGGCAAATGATGCGTTCACAGTTAGTGGATACCTGAGAAAAGTTTTGTCCTTTCTCCCCCAGAACAGTACCTCACAGAATCTTTTTGGCAAAGGCAGTGACAGAAACTCATTTCTCCAGGGAAACACAGTTGCCTCAGCTACAGGATGATCCTTTCTTTTCTTGACATCCCAACTCATTCAAAACACATATTCCAACTTCCTCAACAACTGCCATGAGTCCTGCAAACAACAGCCTCTTTCACTTCATTGTGCCAATTCATTCCAAGCACTGTTCATCCCGCACTCTGAATGAGGCAGGGCCCCGTGGGAAAACAAAGAATGAGATAATGTAATTAAAGAGTATCTCATAATGTACATGGGGATTGAACTACAGTGGCCTCAACAATCTTAATTCTTTCTTAACTCCTGAGTGATTAATACTGCAGCTTATTTTAATGCTGTTTTCTGTATATAACCAACCACATTTCTTAGCAAAGGAATTTTAAAATAACCAAAAACCCCAAGCCAAAAAAACAACCACATGGAAACATACCAAATACTACTATGTGGTATGCAAGGAGAATTACCAGTAGAGCCAACTGGAGAGGAAAACAACAACACTGCTATTTTTGTTGAACATTTTTCTATTCTCAGTTTGCCTATCCATTAATGTTCAAATGTTTCCCAGAGATGTTTCAGTCTTAATGAATTTCTGCCAGATTAAGCTGTTTTCAAATCCTAGTTTGTGCTTCCCACCAGCTCTCATGCTCACTCACTCCAGCAGAGTACTGAGGAGCCTATCTGGACTTCTCACTCCAACAGCCTACCTGACAAACACAGAGATCCTAGAAATTCTGCTCCCAGCCTTACAATTTCTCTGCTGAGTACTCTGTCAAGTTGGACAGAATTGGACGCAGAATGGTAATTTAATTCTGAAGGGAATAACGCTTTTGTGAGAGCTCTAATTTCAGTGCATGAAGTTTACAAGTCTCCTACAAAATGAGCATAATTCCTAACGTAGCCTTCCCAGCAGCACAAGTTTCTGGTACATGTTTTCTGGTTGAAAGCTTGAAAGGGTGTTCGTCTCTTCCCAAGAGCTGAATCTTCTGCAGTAAAAGAGATTCTTTTAGAAAAACACTTCTCCCTGAAATTCTAGATCTTGAAAACACTTAATGTTTTGAAGCTCCAGAGAAACAGATTGGAGATCATCTCATGTCACATTCTGTGTCTCAGCATGCCAATCGCCCTATTGCTTAGTACTTCCAGCAGTACAAGCAGGGCTGCTCCACAAGAGAGGACAAGGCAGGAGCTATGAGAGACCCAAAGAAAAACCAGATCCATGCTGGCTGGAGCACAGTCCCACAGCACAGTAATAGAGCAGGCAAAACTGTTATTGGTATTGGAAATAGGGTTTAAGCAGGCACACCAGGGGAGAGCAGCCTGTGGCAAGAGTGGAAGTAAGGCTACTGCGTGAAGCAAAAGGGCCTGCTCCAGAAAGAACTAGCAATGGAGTACCTGTGAGCCTCAGGTCTGGCCAGGGGATGAAGTGAGATGAGCAATCAGATAGAAAGACAGACACTCAGTATAATATAGAAAAGCACTGACAGCCCTGGTCTGAGCTTAAATGCAGTCCTGAAGCCCTGTGGGCACAGGGTGTGTGGCTGGCATCCCAGGTAAGGCTATTCAGGGCCATGAATGTCTGCGATTGGTTCAAGGCATGACAAGCACTAGAAATCATATTGGGATTACAATTAAGCAAAACAGACTACAGAGCTTCACTATGCTCAGCAGTATGTCACTTACAGAGGAGAGTATGAGTTTCTATGAACAATTCCTGTTTTTTGGGTTTGGTTTTTTTTTTCATGTTCATGTGGGGCTTTGTGGGTAATACTGCTTATTTAAAGGATTTATTCTTCCTCTCTTTCTTCAGCTGTATTTTGACTTATATTGGATCGTTTGTTTGAAGCCATATCCTTCCTTTCTCTGTTCTTTTTGTTTGTCTCCTTTGTTCATATTTTATGTTTGTTGAAATGTAAACTTCTGGAGACTGCAATGTTGAACAAGTTCTTCAACTCTAGTTGAACTCGTTAATCTTGGGAGCAAGAGTCAGAAGAGCATAAAGGATATAAAACTTTTTTTCTAACTCCTGAAGGTTTTTGCATTGTAGATGCTTGGAACTCCAGATCCAATCATTATTTTTAAATTATATGATTTGGATTTTCAAGAGCTTCTGACCCATGAAGATCAAGAGAGAGTTGAAGACCCCTCTTTTCCTTAGCTGATGGGCTCTGTATTGTGCCTTAGAGAGGCACCACAGGATTTCACCTGTCATTCTTATTTTAAACGTTCATGGGGCTCAATCAGACTGAGGATCATACGTAGTTGTGGTGCTCTGTCAATGTAGGAATAACGTTCATCAGTCCTGAAAATAATGTCTTGTTTATATATCCACATATAAAAATGAGAGTAACTACTATAACTTGAGGCATTTCCAGTTGAAGGCTTCAGTGAAGAAGTGGATGTTACTGTTTCGAACTTCCAACTGACATTTTTTATCCAGAATCTTACAATGCCTTGCAAACGCTATCTACTTAAAGCTGCTCTTGCCAAGCAAAGTATGATACTTTCATCAGCTATCAGTTATATCCAGACTGAAATACAGGTGGTGACTAGCACAGAAATGTGGCACAGATGGCTGGAGAAAGTGCCACAGTCAGTTGAATTTTAGGACATACTAGGGTGCTGTTTCTTAAGTTTTGCCAGAACTTATTTTCTTAAAAAGAATGCCATACAAGTTTTCACATCAAAAACTGTTATCATGCCTTGGATCACTTCTGATACAAAAGGTAGCAGATCATATTCTCACTTGTGTTTTAGCTCCTTTCTGCTGCTTAAGAAGCAAAAATATCTGTAAAGCAATCAGAAGACTCAGTATGAAAGAATATCACTTTGCTTATGGCTATTCTGTGACCAGACTTAGAGATGCTTAGCATTCAGAATAACACATTTATATCATTAGAATTAAATGCAGTTAAGCAAAAAAATCTTCATTGTTTCTCTATTTAAACAAGAAGTAGCAGCACAGTTGACACATCTTATTTCACCTGAATACCTGGAGGTGTTCAAGATCAGGTTGGATGGAGCCAGATCTGGGAGTTGGTAGCCCTGCCTGTAGCAGGAGGGTTAGAACTTGATGATCTTCCAACCCAAGCCATTCTATCACAGAATCACAGAATGGCCAGGCTTGGAAGGGACCTCAAGGATCATGAATCTCCAACCCCCGTGCTACATGCAGGGCCACCAACCTCCACGTCTAATGCTAAACCAGGCTGCCCAGGGCCCCATCCAACCTGGCCTTCTATTCTATGATCCTATGATTGCAGGATAATAGTTATACAGCACCGCAGTACTCACTCTGCTGATTGCAACTCCACCATTATTTGTGTGCAGCAAGATGCAGATAGTCACAAGCTAGGATCTGCTCATACTCTGATCTAGCAGTGCATTAGGTTTTACTGTCCCAAGCTGCTAAGAGCTTCAGAAGCTGACCTTCTCAATCCCTAAATGAAGCCCATCCAAAGTAGGATTTTTAGGCTTAGATATGGTCTACTGCTAATGTAGTCTAAAGGTTTTCAGACCACAGAGTGAACAAAGCAGTATCATGACTGTTCTTACATGACTGTGTGGACACTTATGTGACTGTACTTGATATCTGTCCAAGTAGAAAATTCAACCTTAATTAAATTGCTTAAATGGGATTTTGCAAATGCAATGTGAAATTCGACTACTTACACAAATTCAATTACGCTGGTAAGACAAGAATGCTTATCACAGCATTTGTACATCTCTTCATTACTACAGAGGAGTTTTTCCAAAATAGTAATATATTTTACTACATTTTCATCAAAAAACATGGTACATAGTGAAGTCCTCCAGGCTTTCCAAATGAGAAACAAAAAATGATTTGGTAAATCATTCAGCCAGTGCTAAAAAGAACCCTTCATATGGGCATTCAGGGTCTGATTGTTAGTGATGTAGAAGACTTTTCACGCAAAGGAGATTTGGTCTGGGGGAAGAAGTATCATCAAATACATCATCTTCAAAAAAACATTTTTTCTGATGCTACAGGATAGGACTAAATTCTCTAATGAACAGGTGTTCTCTTGTTCCTCTTTCTGCTGCAGAAGCTGCTCTTGGGAAAAATTCAAGTAATTGATCTCTAATTCTAATTAGAAAGCACTTAACATCAAATGGAATAGACTGCTGAAACAGCTCAAAAATGTAGTCACGTGTGCATAAAATACAGGTTTTAGTGATGAATGGTTCAGAATGTGCTTATTTATTTTGTTAGTTTATTCCAGAAAAAATTGAAGTTTCCTTATTAGTGCTCACTTGATCTCTCCTGAAACACAACAGAATTTATATTCGGGTCATGCTTGTCCATATGCATTTTGACAATTACAGAGAACATTGAATTCATAATTTCAAATCAACTTAGGCATTTAAGTTCATGAAACAGTTTTCTTTTCACATATGATTACTGTAATGTTATAAATATCTGCTGAATATGCACAAAGTGTACATTCCTCCTTTCTCCATCATATCATTTGATACAGGGAAAATGCCTGTGTGAAGATCTGAAACTTATGGCTTGGGTTTACACAACACAAATTTGAATTATAGAAGATCCTTGAAAGTACAGACAAATATTTTTCATTTACCAAAACGCCGTCTGCCAAATTTAAATACACAATTTACTTTTGGCTAAAAGAGCCATTGCTTTATATTAGGGTACGGAGCTCAGACATCCCTAGCCAGTAAATAAAACACTAGAGTTCAAGGAAATTCTCATGACTGCAAGCATTTTCATGCAAAATCCATCACACAATCTAAAATAATCAGTATTATTGTCCACTTGCCTTGATAGAAGACTTCAAAAATCCTAGCGACCAGACATCAGAAGCTTTCAACGCACATGGCTTGCCCTCTTTTACTGTCTCATGTAATAAAAAGAGAGTAATAAAATCCCAAACTTGCAACCAAATCCTGACATTAAACCCGAAAATACAACAGCCCCACAATACGTGGTAGACTTGAGCTCTTTCGTTATTTTGTTGTTGTTGTTGTTTTTTCCTGACAGAAGTTCAGACAACTTCCAGAATACATTTTTGTGACTGAAAAGGCAAAATAGTGTGTTTCATGCTCTTATCCAAGTCTCGAGATATGAAAAAGTAATCCTTACCATATCAGGTTTCTTCTGATGGCTTTTATTCCACATCTGACAAGTAGGTTTTCCCAGACTCTTTCGTTCTACAGCAGGTGCTGTCAGAAGGCCTGTTTGTGGTCCTCTCCTTTATCTGCTCCCCCTGAAATGACAGAAACTTTCAAGTGAGGATACTTGAGAACACAGGTCCCCGAAGCATCTAAAGAAAGAAATGGACCACATGGCACAAACCAGTAAACTACAAAGCCATTTTATAATGCCAGCTGTACAATAAAAACACATTCATTTAACGTCTCCTCTCTTCCACGCTAAACAGTTCCACTTTCAAAGCGCTCCCTGATCCCACCAAATGAAATGCTATCCCTAATTTTATCACATCCTGCTGGTAATTTTTTCTAGAAAAGTATAAAATCACTGTGGCTTCTGCCTGTACAACAAAGACTTTTTTTTTATCTGTTATGATATGTACTCATATCAATATCATATTTCGGGTACTTCCTGACTTATTCTCATATTGTTGCCATAAACCAGACAATAAAGTGATTTGAATTCAGAGGCTGACACCCGGATGTGTTTCATCTGCATGGTAATCAACAGTTACTAAGGTTCACAAGGACAGTACTGATCACTGATCATTTCCTATCCTTGGTTTGAAAAGGCTAAAGAGAAGAATGTGCTGAGTGTCCTTTATTATGCAGAAACATATGCACTGATTCTAGTAAATTCAAAATCCTTAATTATCCTGTCATATAAAACGGAAGAGCACAAAGAAATAGATATATTGGTAACAAATGTTTGAAGGAGCACAAGGTTTGAGGCTGAGAATTAGGGAAGGCAAAGACCCAAATCTTCAAAATGAGAGGGAACAGGTATTGGTGTCAGGCAACTCTTTGTAAGCGATAGTCAGCAGTGATCTCCAGCTTTTCATCAGCTTTCCAGTCTAAATATCACAGGCTTAACATGGAATACTGTTCAATAACATGGAATACTCTTCAACCTCATGTACTGATCAACATCAGGCTGCTTTTCAGCATGGCCTTCTCCTTTGTCAGTCGCTTGGTCAGCACATGGGTTATGCTTCTCAGCACCGTGCCTTGAAGCCCAACCTGACTGAGTGATTTGCTGGCCAGAGAACTTCTCTTTGGCCTTCTGCTATATGGGATGGACCATATGCTGAGGTTAGCCAAGCAAGTGCTTAAGCAGTAATTCCAGACTGTTCTGTGGCTATATCTGATAGCCAAAGGTTACTTGCAGCCCATGTGCGTGGTCAGTCTGATTTGGAAGGCCTCACTCTCCCAGGAGAACAACACAGCCATCACGTTATCAGGCACTTCCAGCACTTCTGGTCAAAGCTGCCCTACTGTGAACCAGAAAAATCCTACAAATACAACAAAAAAGATAAACAAGCAGAAGATCCATAGAAATTAAAGTTATCAACGTAAGCAAAATTGATAAAGAAAACTGAGATCAAGAAAGCATGTGTATTTGGCAGTGGCCAAAGTAGAACAAAACATATTTAATGGCACAAAGGGATGAGAAAGTCAATTCAGAGCATTAGCGTTTTATATCTAGGAGGAGGGATGAAATACTCCATCTGAAATACAGAGAGAATGAATTTCTTTGGAGCGCACCAGTAAGAGCGTATGTCAAAAAAACACATGCTGAAAAAATGTATTGGAATTCCACACAGGGGTCCCAGAAGAGTTTCTCAGAGGATTTCATCTAATGATTGTTTTTATTTTCTGACTGTCACTTTTTAACAACTAGAATCAACGTCAGAAAACTGGAGCCATACCAATATTCTTTTGCCATTATTCAAAAGGTCATGCAAGAGTTGAGGAATGGGACAAATGGTCTGACATCAGTCCAGAGACACAGAACTCAGATAAAGTGCTTCATTTTTATAAGGTATTATTCATACCACAACACAAATCATTCCTTCCCTTGGCCTGATGAGCATCCTTCCACGAGAGCTCATTCTCAAAATGCCCAACAGCCCCATGTTCAGGTACTTGCCTGAAAGAGAGGAAACCCTTCTTCTTAGCATGCAAAGGGGGAATACAGGCCTTTCTCACATGCTCCTGGTCAGTGTGCTAGCACTCGGGCTTTACACAAACAGTACCTCTCAAATATCTCAAGCTGGGTTTTTCACATACGCAGACAAAACGACCTGCGTGCTTCAGAAATATTCATTTTCACTGAAAGTATTTGCGACATCACATCCAATTTTTTGGAGTTATGAATATTATTTGACAACGACTATTTCAGAAAACCCAGACCCAAAACTCATGCTAGATTCCTGCCATCGTTACTTGCTCTGTTTTATTGAAAAATATGAATAAGAAAATTTGCATGTCACTTTACATCTGAACAGAACAGAGAGTTTGCCCAGCTCTGTAGGCAGCTGTAGTATTTAGTTACAGCACATCTGTCCTCCACACATCAGCAAGAAAGAATAAATAAATGCACCTGTGAGGGCATAGTTGCAAATATGCACACATGGGTGTGCTACCCACACCACCATAATGGCTCTCTGCTGCCTTTATTCCTTACCTTCCTTAACTAAAAATTAAAGCAATGTAAGTAGAGATGCTTTACATTCCAATTTAAGTTAGAGGGAGCTTTTCTTGTTACACCCTTAATATATGTCAAAGCTTTTGTACTTAATGGGATAATAATGCTATATTAAAATATATTGCAAATTAAATTATTAGTGTTTACATAACTTATGAAGTTCTGTATTGGTAGAGCTCATGCCAGAAATGATACAAGCTGGAAATCTGGCTTTTTAAAATGAAAGTTTAAGTCCATGAAATAATTTATCCTACAAACTTACAGTTAGTTATACATTACTAATTTATTTTCCTAAAATTAAGTAAAATTAAGTAAAATAAAACGCTTTTAGAAAAACAATAACTCTTCCAGTAATATCTGTGTCATCCCAAAAGAAACTACGTACAGCATTACCAGGTACTTAATGTTTTGAATGGGAGATTATCCAAAGGTCCAGAGCTACAGTGTTTATATTCTTTATACACAGTTCTGTCAGATGTTTCAGTTGAACTTTTTCTTTTGAGCTGTATTGTACTGTATGTTCTAATGTATTTTCAAAAACATCTATGCCTTCAATTTGTATTGTAATAAAAAACGTAGGGACATACCTAAACTTGGAGATTATTTGGCCCTTTATCACACTTTTTTAATACACAAGGACAACCTTTCTACGAAGCACCTAAGTTAAAATCATAAATCCTAGGACTTTAAATCCAGATGGGAACATGAGCATTCAAGTTTTCTTGGCTTCTGGAAGCTCCTTCTAGTCAAAGTCACTCCTGATTACAGGAATAGACCTTGCTGTTAGACTACAAGGTCATTAGTCCTTTATTTCAATTTATTCCTTTAAAATATATGTATTTGGGCTTTTTTTTTTTTTTTTTTTTTTTTTTTTACATAAAGAAAAACTTTGCACAATTCTGTAAGTCTGAATACTATAATTACCAAACATTAATTTGTTACTTGGGATCAAAACCAACAGAAATGATATTGTAAAGAGACTAAATTGAAAGCATACTTCAAAAAAAATCATTCCAACAACTTTTTAATACATTGTTATAGTAATGGCCCTTCAGCCACTCCACACACATGAACCCCCTCCCAAATCCACCAGATATTCTGAATTTAAAAACCTAACATAGAAAAACTAGAGTGATATCTATATCTATATACATATATATACATATACAGTGTGAGTTTTTAGACCTCACATTTTAGGTATCTCCTTTGTGATGTTTCCTCAATGAAAAGCTTCACAGTGCTATGTAGAAGTAAAGCCAAACAACTCTCCCAACAACCTACCTTGTAACCCTAGCTATCACTGCTCTTGGGGCGCAGTCTGCTTATCTGAAAGCAGAGCTGTACATGCAGACTGCAGCTATCAGTGACTGTGGCTTAAGGTTAGTGCCTGGTCCCTGTTGGAGCTATTCCTCCATAGACAAAAGGGTTACCTGCTGAGAAGCGTCCACAAGAAAGAGAACTTTAAAATAGTACAAAACCTCTCTGCAGTCTATCATCCTCTGTGGTTCACTATTCCCCAGGGTCTCCAGCTTCTTCACATTGCCCCATCCCAAATCTCTCTCCATGTCTCACATCAGCCCCTGTCAGCAAGAACAGCAGACCTGTAATTCCTACTTGCATTGCTCTGTCCTCATGGTCTCCTTCCCTTTCTTGAGAGATCCCAGTTAATGACACAGAGCTCCCCTGTTCTCTGCATACCCAGCTTGAATGAAACAGCTGTGTAACTTTGGACTTTGTCAACTTTGCCACTGCATCTCCCATTCCTCCAAGAGCTCATCCACATTGCTTTCTGGCCTCTTTTCCAAAGGTTTCATACCTGTAACTTTGACTGAAAAGGATGTTTTAATTTTTAAAAAAAAGCCCCTAAAATATCCAGTCAGTGCCAAGTCCTTGCACACAAGTGCAAAACCTTTAACACATACATATATTTGTTAAAGATACAGCTATGCATCCCGTGACAAAAGTAGAAATATAATAAGCATCTTTAGTGTGGCTTTAACTGAATCCTCACATGACCCACTTGAAAAATTCAGCAGGTGGTAGCCCTGAATGACTGACATCTGTGTTCATCCGTTTAAAATATCTTTGGTAGAAAAGAGAAGATAGAAAAGACACAAAGAGCACAGCGTCCTACATTTGTTTCTTACTTGGAAGAAAAGAAATGGGAGTATAACATTCTTCAGCAAAGGTTCATCAAAAAAAGAGCTCTTTACTAAAAAGAAGCAATTTTTTTTTTTTACAATACAGTTGCTGCTGTATCACGAATATATTCTTTCCCTTTCAGATATCAGAATATTGTTATTTTTGTCTGACCAGAGCTTGATCCTGATTACATCATTATGTTCCAGAAAGTAGTACAGATTTAAAATTTGTGAGCATGAATAAAATATAAACACAATGTTAATACACTGCTTCTCTGCTCAAATAACAACATAAAAGCAAACCTTTGAGAAATATCATTGTCTACTGTAGCCTTTTTTTTTTTTTTAATGAGAATTTTTTAAACCAGTTTACAGTCAAGTGGAAAACCTCTGGAAAGGTTAGAACTGAGTCAAAAATCTCT